TCTCTTTCCTCTTCCAAACCCGTTCACGAACACTCACGCGCACATTCACTCACACGCACATTCACTCACACGCTCACGCATGCATGCACACACGCGCGCGCACGCACACGCACACACGCACGCACGCATGCATGCACACACGCAGGCTTCTATGCGGGTGTTGTGTCGTACCAGCCACGGTGCGTGGAGAAGATCCTGGCCCTGTCCAACTCGCCCATGGCTGACGAGCTGCGCGCGTTCATGGAGCGAGCAAAGCACGCCAAGCCGCCGCCTGCTCAGCAGCAGGGCCAGCACGACACCCGCCCACTCCAGTACCAGCAACAACAGTACCAACAGCAACACTATCAAGAGCAACAGCAGGAGTATCAGCAGGAGCCTGCCTTTGGCGACGCTCGCCGCTATCCCCGCAGCCGCACCACTGCACCCGCACAGCCGCCCGATGAGGTGCTCACCGACGACACGCAGGGACAGCAGTCGCCACCGCCAGCTCCTGGGTATGGCGGGCACGGATATGGATACGGGTACGGGCAGGGCAGCATGGGCGCTGGCGACTATGGAACGCAATACCAGCGGCCTGTCGACCGCTCCGCTGAGCCCGTGCGCGACCACGTGCCGGAGACATTTGCCCCCGATGGACTGCCAACATACGATGACGGGTCGCAGGATGCGCGGCGAGACACGACGCGTGGTGGTGGTTTCGGCAGTGCGGCCGACGAGTGGGGCGGCAGGGATGATGAGGACCCATATGCAGCCCGCGAGGCAGGGACGACGCCTGCACACTCGTACGCCGACCTGAGAAGTGCACACCGCCAGACACACCAGCCGCCATCACGCCAACGCCCAGCGTGGGCACGCCAGAGCACCGACAACACCGCACCGCCACCAGCATCATCTTCTTCGGCGTCGCAGTACAATGACCAGCGGGTCCACGGATGGGATGATGGCACACCGCAGGACTCGCGAGCCGTTCGCACGCGCGTCAGCAGATACGGGGACGAGCTCGAAGACGACAACTTCTCATCCCGCTGATGTGTGGGCTGATACGTGTGTTTTTGTGTGTTTTGTGCTTTTTGTGGCTAATGCGTGCGTGTGTGTTTGTGTTTGTGTTTGTATGTGTGTATCTGTGCGTGTCTGTGTGTATCTGCGTCTGTGTATCTGTCTGTGTCTTTGTATGTGCGTGTTTGTGCTGTCTGCGTATGTGCGTCTGTCTGTGTCTGCGTATTTGCGTGTTTGTGCTGTCTGCGTATGTGCGTCTGTGCTGTCTGCGTATTTGCGTGTTTGTGCTGTCTGCGTATGTGCGTCTGTGCTGTCTGCGTATTTGCGTCTGTGTGCCTGTGTGCCTGTGTCTGACCGCCCCCCCCCCATCTGTGCCTGTGCCTGTCTGCCCCACTGCCTCTTTCTCGCCGTGTTTGTCTCTGCCTGCGTGCTTGCTGGCCCCTCCCTGACCCCAAATCTTCCAACAACGCTGGCTAGTTGGAGCCATGTGTGTGTATGGTTTATTGACAGTGTGCATGACGCACGCATGAAAGCTGTTACGCTTGCAAGAGGCAATTGTGCATTGGTGTTGCCTTTGTTGCTTTGAGGCTTTGGTGTCTGCGATCGTGCTCAACAAATGGTGCGGGTAGGCGGGTGGTGCTGGCGTGTTCACTTCAGGAGGTGGTGTGCAGAGCATCTGAGAGACTTGCCGTTGCAAATGCTTGTGTTGCGGCCAACATGGCATTCTCGGTGTTCGAGCCTTGAAAAGGAAACACAGGTACCAGCCCGACAGCCAAACAAGACAAAACAAAAAGCGGGTGCACTTTTCCTTCGTGTTTATTGTAAAATAAGTTTCATGACAGTACCAGTACAAGAGTGCATCATCAGAACATCACCCTTAATAACAACAACAACAGCGCCATTGAGCCATTGAGTGCTTGCGCTATCGTTGTGCTCTCACCCATGGCACTGTTTACGTCCGCGAGTCTTTGATCAATTGCAGAATTATCAGCGCCCGAATCATCACACAACGCAGCCTTACAAACAAACAAAAAAAAAAAAAAAAAAACGAGGCGGGGAGGAGGGAAATAATGATCATGTGCATCCGACACCCCACATCGCTTTGTCTTCCTTCCTTCGTACACGGACTGAACCGCCAAGCTTGCGAAACCTGAAGAGGCTGTTGCTTCGTCAGTGGGACAACAGCAACAACCGCTCCAACAACGTCTGCCCTCAGCAGCAACAGCAGCAACAGCAACACACACACACACACACACACACACACACACACACACACACACACACACACACACACACACACACACACACACACATTTTATGGTTGTTCCCCGCGGCTCATGGACTGATGGGTTCATTTGAGAGAGCGTAAACGATAGCAGGTTGGGCTGGAATGAAGCAAACAAGACAAAACGGTCACGCGTGCTATGCAATCAGAGGGCTGGACCACGCGAGACGCGAGGAATACCACACGGCAAAAGCGAGTGGGCGTGTTCCATGGTCGCGCGCAGCAAACAACCAACAAGCAGCCAACAAGCACAAGCAACCCAACAACGAGAACAACGAGAACAACAAACAACCAATCAACGAAACAAGGCGCAGTTGCAGACAAACCACAGCCGTATTGCACTGCGCTTAAAAAGAGAGGTGAATGTCGCCGCCTATTTCCTCTCCATCAGATGCGGGTCCTTCATGGGCGTGGTGGATAGCTTGAGCCGGAAGGGGGTGGGGGTGGTGGTCCCGCTGGCGGCGGCGGTCCATGGGAGGACGAGGGTGCGGGCGGGTAGGAGCTTGGGTACGACGACGACGGGGCCGGGGGTGGTGCACCGTACGAGGACGATGAGTTGCCCCAGCTTCCAGAGGACCCCGACGGCGGCGGCGGTGGGGCGCCGGACGACGCCTGGCCGCGTGGCGGATACGAGCTTGAGCTGTAGCTTGACGAGCCGTAGCTGCTGCCACCACCGCTGCTGCTTCCGCCATAACTGCTGCCACCGTAGCCGCCGGAGGAGCCATAGCGGCTGCTGCCGCCGCGCCCGCCGTACGAGTCGTCGCGGCGATCGTAGCGGTCGTACCCGCGGCTGCCGCCGCGCCCGCCACCGCCACCGCGGCTGCTGCGGCCACCACGACGGCGACCTGCAGCGGAACCAGAACAAGAGAAGGGGCACACAACACAGCAGACATGGTAAGTCAAGAAGGGGGGGGGGGAGGTGAGAGCAGGGGATATGCGCAGAAGACAAATGGCACACTCACAAGAGAGCAATCGTACAGCAGTCCAAAGTAACCGTGCACAAGCAAACGTACACACACACACACACACACACACAGAGACACAGACACAGACACACAGGCACAGGCACAGACACAGACACAGACACACACACAATGGTCACAATGGTCACAACGCACCTCCACCGCCGTAAGCGTCGGCCATCTCGAGGAGACGGGGAGGAATCTCCTGCTTTGCCTCACGCAGCACAGACACGAGGTCGCGCGCCTTGTTGGCGTTCTTGATGGTAAACAGCGTGTACGCCGTGCCCTCGCCGCCGCCACGCGCTGTGCGGCCAATGCGGTGCACGTAGTCCTCAGAGTTGTTGGGGAAGTCAAAGTTGATCACAAACCGGATGTCGCGCACATCTGTCAACAACACACAAACAGCGACACGGTAACAGAAAAAAGCAGCCACACAGCAGCAAGCGTTAGCGTCATGTCACGCAGGCAGCACCAACAGTGGGGTGCCGAGGAATGCACACCATGGGGATAAAGGAAACATGGAACTTGGAGGAACAACGCCACACGACTAAAACCATGCAACCACAACCGAAACCACGTTGCGGCTGCTGCGTCGAATCAACAGTGCACATACACACCCACACAAGCACACAGGATACACAAGAGCTAGCATGTCTAAGTGTGCGTGGTTGAGGGCAGAAAGGAAACTGAGTGGCGCACAAAGCTAAAAAAAGAAGTGCAGCGTCACAAAGAGAAGTCGCGATGATGTCCAGAAGAGGAAAAAGGAAACAGAAGAATCTCTTGCAAAATGTTTGAAAAACGCTTGCACAAGTAGGCGCGAAAGCGAGAGAAGCAAGCGCTAGGCCACGCCCAGACGCGCGACGAGGGAGAGTGAAAGGTAAAGAGTGACGATGAGCAGTCGAAACTCTTTACCTGTCGTGTTCCCACGTCGGCGGCGAGGCAGCCAGCGCCCAGTCCAAACGCGCCGGCCAAAAGCGACAAAACGCAACGGAGGGAGGAGACACGGGGGGGGGGGGAGGAGCGGGTCAACACGCGTTGCAGGTGCATGTGTGCCTCAAGCGTGCATGTGTGCTGTGGTGGCCCGTTGGGGACGGGGGAGGGGGCATGTGCCGGTGGGGAGCACCGCTCTCAACAACCACGGGAGACGACAGCACGTGGTGTTGGTAGCCGTGCCATGACGCCAAAGGCGAAAGCGCACAAGGCGCAGAGAGAACGAACGCTGCGAGCGATGGCACCGGTCGCTGAGGCAGTGGTTGAAAGGCTGGAGCCGCCACCGCCGTCGCTCGAGTGCCATCAACGTCACCACTATCTCAATCATCATCGTCATGGTGGCCATGCACACGACGGGCGAGTGCACGGTGAACCCGACTGCATGACAGACGAGACAGCAGCAGCACCCAAGCTTCTGCGCCTCGCAACGTAGCCGCCCAAAGCCCACGCCACGCTACAGCGCGTCCCAGCACTGCCGCACCAAACGAGAGTGCTCCCGGGCCCTGCGCAACGCACGACATGTGTGTGGACGCTCATACAGGAGCAAACGCACGCACATGCGCAGGTACGCGAGCAACGCATGCGAGCAGCACTGCAGATGCGGACACAGCGCAAAGCTCACGGCATCACGTGGGCACTCGTGTGCTTGCATGCGCAGTTGCACCGAGGGAACGGTACAAACAAGGCATTGTCGGTGCAGAGAGCAGAGCGATGGCGTGTGGCGGTGCACACACACACACACACACAGACGTGCTTGCCAAGCAGCATGTGGAGGCGAGAGGGAAAGAAAGAAAACGAGGAGCGAAACGACAAAAAAAAAAAAAGGCCAACCAGGTAACAGATAAGGAAACAAGGAGGTGGTGCGCGCGCTTTGTGCATGCGTGTGTGCGTGTGCGTGTGTGTATGTATGTGTGCATGTATACACGTGTGTGTGTGCGCGCGTGCGAACCTACCGAGGCCACGTGAGGCTACGTCTGTGGCAATGAGGATGGGGCAGCGGCCGGAGCGGAAGAGGCCGAGCACGCGGTCGCGCTCCTCCTGCCGCTTGTCGCCGTGCATCGCCTCAGCCAAAAACCTGCACCCACGTCGCATGAAGTAAGTGCGTGCGTGTGTGCAGTGTGGTATGTATGCGTGTGTGAGCGCAAGTGTGTGCGTCGTGTGTACGCGTGTGTGAACTTAAACTGAAAACCAGCATACTCGCGCGTGGTGACGGCCACAGCGATTACAACGCAAGCATGCCATACCCGGCGCGCTGCAGGTCGTATTTGAGGTCGTCGCAGCCGCGCTTCGTCTCTGTGAAGATGATGGTCTTGTTCTCCGGCTTGCGCTGGATGTCGCGCAGCAGATCCTCAATCTCGCGGAACTTCTCAGACTCTGCACCCACAGGACATGGCCCATGATGGACGGCACACAGCCGGGGGAAGACGGCCAATGGCACGCAAGGCACTGCGTTAGGTGGTTCGACAAAGAGGGAGGCTGCATGCACGTCTTTTGTTGTTGTGGCTGCACTTCATGCGCACAACACACACACACAACAACAACAACAACAACAACAACAACAACAACAACAACAACAACAACAACAACAACAACAACAACAACAACAACAAACAAACAAACAAACACACAAAACAACGCACCGCTGAGAACGATGATGCGCTGGTCAATCTTGTGGTTGGCGGAGAGGTCTGCCGAGCCAATCTGCACGCGAATGACGTCGTCGCCAAGGAACTCGTGCGCAAGCGACTGCACCTCCTTTGGCCACGTCGCGCTCCACATGAGCGTCTGCCGGTCAGGGCGGATCTGCGACACAATCTTGCGCAGCTGTGTGTGTGTGTGTGTGTGTGTGTGTGTGTGTGTGTGTGTGTGTGTGTGTGTGTGTGTGTGTGTGTGTGTGAGAGGGTTGAGTTGGCAGGGGGTGCAGGGAAGGGATTGTGAATTCGAATGACGAAAGGCACACCAAAGCGTGGGCATTTGAAGGATTGCAAAGAAACAAACAGACGTACAACGCAGCGAAGGTCTCACACGGCACCGTGGCAGGACATGAACACATGCTCGTGCGCGCGCACGCACACACAAACACAAACACACACACACACACACACACACACAATCACACTCATAAACACATACACACCCTCGAATGAGACGCACCTGTGGCTCAAAGCCCATGTCGAGCATGCGATCGGCCTCGTCAAGGACAAGGTACGTGCAGCGCTTGAGGTTGGTGGTGCCGTTCTCAAGGAAGTCAATCAGGCGGCCAGGGGTGGCAATGAGAATCTCAACGCCGCGCTGCAGCTCGCGGGCCTGGCGGCCACGGGGAGCACCGCCAAAGACGCACGTGCTCTGGATGCGGGACGAGGACCCGTACTGGAAGGCAACCTGGCCAATCTGCTGGGCCAGCTCACGCGTGGGGGCGAGCACCAGCACAATGGGGCCGTCGCCGGGCTTGAGCAGCGGCTGGTGGTTGATGTGGACAATCCCGGGCAGGATGAAGGAGAGTGTCTTTCCGGAACCTGTGTCCGCAATGCCAATCATGTTGCGACCCTTGAGCGCCATTGGCCAGCCCTGCGCCTGAATTGGCGTGGGCTTTTCAAACCCCTGAGAGCTGAGCACGTCCATGATGTAGCCTGGTGGTCGTGGTCATCACGAATAGCGTGTCGTTGTGTGTGTGTGTGTGTGTGTGTGTGTGTGTGTGTGTGTGTGTGTGTGTGTGTGTGTGTGTGTGTGTGTGGGCGCGATGGGGAGAGCGTGTGTGAGATCGCACGTGGAGTCAACGCATATCGACCAAACCAACTAAGCAGCGACGACAACAACAAACACAACAGCACTGGTCGAGACGTACGGGGAAAGTTGGCGTGTTCGAAGCGCGTCACGGGGCGGGGAACCTCGCGGCCGTGCACGGTGATCTTGGATTCGCTGCGGAAGGCCTGCACGTCAGAGTCGGTCATGTTGAGCGTGGCCTCGTGCTCCTTGTAGAAGTTCTTGTGGAACACGGGGAGCGTGGGCAAAATTTCGGCCCAGTTGAGCTCGCGGAGTCGGCCGCCCATTCCATAGGAGTCGAAGCCGCCGCCGCCGCCGCCGTAACGGCCGCCACCGCCACCACCATAACGGCCACCGCCGCCATAGCCGCCGCCGCCGCCATAGCCACCGCCACCGTAGCTGCTTCCACCATAGCTGCTGCCGCCGTAGCTGCTGCCGCCATAGCTGCTGAAACACAGAAGAGCACAAACACAGTCAAGAATGAGTTGTGGTGGTGGTGGTGGTGGTGGTGGTGGTCACGACATGATGGGAACACATAATCAAGAAACAACACGCGATCCGACGCACACACAGGCACGAAGGTTGATTGTGTGTGCTTGATCCAACACAAGAGACAAAAGCATAAGCACCTATTCCCTGCACCAGCTCACCTTCCGCCGCGGTCATAGCGGCCAGAGCTGTAGTCGTCGTAGCGAGACATGATGCTGGTTTCCTGCACTTGTTTGGATCGACTGGTTCGAGATCACGGAGACAGATGAGACAAAAGACGCACGCACACACGAGGTGTTGGTTGATCAATGCGTGGCTGTGTGGCTGGAGGAAAGAAGAAGAGAGCGATCGCACGCTGGATACGACGAAAATTGTGAAAGATCTTTCTCAACCGATTACGACATCACAAAGCGGGGTATGGATGAGCGAGAGTGTGCCTTTGCTTTGCTTCTTCCTTCACTCAGCTCTCACTCTTCTCTTCCCTGTTCGTGCTTTGCTTTGCTTTTTGTGGCCCTCTTCTCAGCTCTCCTCTATCTTCGAACAAACAGCCATCGCACTCACAGCACCAGCAACAATGCGGGAGGGGGCACAGGAGACAAGCCTCCTCCTCCCTCCCTCTCCCCTCCACACTCGTCACGCCTGCGAGTGGCCGTTGTAACAATGTAACAAGTGCGCGGAGCAGGTCCGAAGCGCACGGGAAACGACCCACATGAAACGCAACGAGGAAACACACGAAAGAACTAAACAAGGAGAGAACAAACGGAAAACTGGAAAAGACACCATGCAATAGGGGTTCAATGACAGGGAACGCGAGGGGAGACGAAAGCGAGGACACTAGGACAGGAGGTGGATGAGTGTGAACGCGAATGCGTGTGTGCGTGTGCGTGTGTGCGTGTTATTGTTGCTTTGTTGTTGTTGTGTTTGTTTGTGTGGATGGGGGGGGGGGAGGATGTGGATGCCTTTGGTGTCAAAAGGCTTGTTTCTTCATTTCGTCCGCGTTGATGTTCGCCGCAGGCAGTCTCAATCAAGCCCAGATCTGGCGCACGCGCCGGTTGCGGCGGTCGACAAAGAGGACGTTGTCGGTGAGCGGGGAGAAGGTGATGCCCGTCGGGAAGTTGAGCGCCGTGTCTGTGGCCACCATGCCGTCACCGTTGTACCCGCGCTGGCCGTTACCAGCGGTGGTGGTGATGATGCCGGCCGCGCCAACCCCAATGTTGAACTCGCGGACGCGGTGGTTGCCGCTGTCTGCAATGGCAAGCGAGCCAGACGAGTGCACGGCCACGCCACGCGGGGTGTCGAGACGCGCGTCCGTGGGCAGGCCACCATCGCCGCTGAACCCAGCAACACCGGTGCCGGCCACCGTGGTGATGACCTGCGTGTACAGATCCACTGCGCGGACGCGGTGGTTGCCGCTGTCTGCAATGTACAGCATGTGGTCGTACACGGCAATGCCTGCAGGCATGTTGAGGCGCGCCCCAATCGCCAGCTGCCCGTCGCCCTCATCGCCAGCCACCCGCGGCGTGCCGGCAACAACGGAGATGATGGTGGTGTGCGGGTTCACCATGTACACGGCGTGGTTCTCCTCGTCCGAGAACAGCAGGTTGCCTTCCTCTGTCCATGCCATGGCCTGTGGCGAGTGGATCTGCGCAGCCGTCGCCACACCGCCCATCCCGCGGTGCCCGCCATCACCGGTGCCAGCAAACACCGACAGCTTCTTGCTCACCACATCGACAACAGACACGCGGTGGTTGCCTTCCTCCGTGATGTACACGTTGCCCTCCACATCGGCAATGGCGCAGCGGGGGCGGTTCAGCTGTGCGCTCGTGGCAGCGCCGCCAACACCGTCCGCGCCCATCTCGCCCGTGCCGGCAACCAGGGAGGACGTGCGCGTGCGCAAGTCCACGCGGATGACGCGGTGGTCGGACACCATCGTCACCAGCATCTCGTGCTCGCCGTCAAAGGTGACGCAGTCCGGTTGGTTGAGACCCGTGTTGAGCAGGGTTGCTGACGAGTCCCACGTCGTGCCGCCGTTGCCAACAACCGTCTGGATGGCGCTGGCAATGGAAGGCGTTGTCGTCCCAACAGCAGACGGCTGGGTGCCCTTGGTCAGCGACTTGGACACAATCTGTGTGGACACGCCCGTGCCGGAGCCAAGGTCGCTCATGAGCTGGCACCGAAGCATGCCGTTGACGACGCTGGCGAAGATGCCGAGACAATCCGGGTCTGCATCGCAGTACCGCAGGCACTGCAGCATCGACTCGCCCTCCATGTTCACAATGGTGGCGCTGGTCTCAAATGCAGTTGAGAAGCGACGCGGGTTGTTGTTGCCCGTGATCGCGCCTGTGAACGTCTCTTCGTAGTTGTACTCGCTGAATGGGAAGTCGAGCGCGTTCTCATCAGCATCAGGTTCTGTCAGCGCACCACCAGCTGGCGTCGTTGGCGCATCCGCATCCACACACAGGCACACCTGGGACAAGGTGGTGGATCATGTGAGGAGCAGCGAGTGATGTGCACAGGGAATCAAAAAAAAAAAAACCATCACAATGAGAGAATGGGTTGAGCAGGCACTGTAGTACGAAGAGTGCACACTTTCGCACGCGCACACTGTGCAAATGTAGGCATGCGATACACTGTACGAACGTAGGCAAATGATACACTGTGCAAATACAGATACTTGAAAAGCCACCACAAACACACACACACACACACACAAAACGGTACACCGAGGCAAATAAACAGAGCCAACACAAGAAAGCAAAGACAATTGACCCACCTTTCGGCAGCCAAGGTGCATGTCGCGGAACGCAGCGGCCAGACCCTGGTCTGCACAGTGTGCACTGCACCGCTCCTCCGTCTTGGTGATCTTGAAGCGACGTCGGCACCCGCACGTGCACACCTGAACGAACAGGTCAGCAAAGTCACAAGAGTGGTGGTTGCACGTGTATGCAGTGTGCGCGTGTAAGCGTGTGTGTGCGTGCGTGTCAGATGCTGAGGATTTCACAGTGCACAGCGTGACTGAAACGACGGGACAGCAGTACCACAAACGACAGTGAAAGGTCATGCAATTACGGGTACCATGATCACACAAACACATCAATACAGATACACTTTGTGTACACACGTTGGAGCATTCGCCGTAAGACTTGCTGAAGGTTGCATCGCCTCTGTCGTAGTAGTCGCATTGTGAGCGGCACGTTGTTGGGTTGGGCGCAGTCTTGTACACGCTGCACACATCCAGCGTTGTTGGCTCGGCGGTCGTCGTTGTCACGCCTACAGCAGCCGAGAGTGTGTGTGCACGTGTGAGTGAGTGAGTGTGTGTACGTGTGTGAGCGAGTGAGTTGAGTGAGCGAGTCGTGTTTGTCAATCGAGCAATGACACAACAGCAGATGTGCACATAAGCGCTGCCACATGCACCCCCAAAGCTCACACAAGCACGCATGCACGCTTTGACTTACGTTCACACGTCTTGGCCTGGCCCGACCACTGTGGCTTGTCATTGACCACAACGCACTCGCGCTGGGAACTGCCGCTCTCTGAGAGCGTGTAGCCGCCGTTGCACTGCTCGTAGTCGCATTGATCGCCTGGCAGGTGGCAGTCATCGTGCAGTGCAGTGACGGTGAGCGAACATCGGCGTCATCATCAACACCGCCAGGCGTCGCATGATAAGATGCAAGCAAGGGATATAACAACAACAGCTGCAGCAGCTGCTGCTGTAGATGGAGAGAAAGAGAAGAAAAAATGAGAACGAGTGCAACCAAAGCATGGGTAGACACTCCACGCATTCGTACCGATGTTGCCATCGCAGGAACCAGACACAGCACCATTCTCCAGCGTCAGCGCTCCACAGCCAACACCTGCGCAGACAAGCACAGTGTGGTGAGGGGTGTGATGGTGTACGTGAGGGGGCGCGCTAACAGTTGAAGCGAGATGAGAACAGCCCACACGCTCAACCTCCCTGAAAGGCACTATTGTGTCAGCAAGCACACAAACAACTTCACTCTGGGAGTGCGCATGATCGCGATCTTAGCCACACTCACGCTGGCACTCTGCACCACCAGTGGAAAAGTATTCCTGTCCAGTCCTACACTGGACCTGAACACGTTCATATCCAGCATATTGTGCAGCGGGTTGAATGAGTGGACGTCAACACATAATCCATTCACACAGTTCTTCAAAGCATCACGCACACGCACGCACACATTCACACAGGATGGCATGTGGTGGGTACCTCGCAGGTCCTAAACTGGAAGGAGCGGGCGCCAGAGGATGTGGAGTACGACGACTTGACACCTGCAGTTGAATGGAGAAAGATGGACAGAGACGACGTTTTTGTGCGTTACTTGAAGAATGTGTAGCGTAAGAGCAAGGTGCTAGCATCAAGCCACATGCATGCTCAAATTCACTCACACGTACGCGTACTCAAACTCCTAAACTCATCCCCGCACACACACTCTCTCACCACTCACACACTCACCGACAAGCACGTGTCCCGTGGGGACGGTGTAGTCAAAGTTGAAGGTGCTGGCGCTGTAAGAGCTGCTGAGCTGGCAGTTGCCGAGTGTGGCGCCAAAGATGAGCGAGCACTGGAACCCCCACAGGCGGTCGTTGGGGCTGTCAAGGTATGATGTCGTCACACCAGAGATGTCTGCAGCAGGTGTGCAAGAAACAAGATGGAAGGGGTCAAGAAGCCATCACAGTCAAAAGTGCACATGGAACCGCAAATACACAACATAGTCGCTCACGCACACGGATGCATACAACCAGACAACAATCACACGCACACAGATGCAAAGACATGATGATCCCATGAGACGTACAGTATGAGTCATAAGGGCAGGTGAAGTCAAAGCTGCCGCGAGCAGAGTTGATCTCCTCGTGCATGCTCCACACACGGTTGGCGTCGTTGCTGCCAACATCATCACAGGCAAAGCCCCAGTCGCGGCGGTCTGTTCACGGCAACGCGGAGATGCAATCGAAACAACAACAATCATCGATGAGACGACGAAGATGAGGAGAGCGCAGCACAACAGCAAGTAGGGAAGTTGTAACACCATACTGCTCGCGCACATGAGCAAGAACTTTCGAGGCTGCACACGTGCAAGTGTGCATACGAGTGTGCGTACAAGCGACGCGCACAAATGACACACACACGCATACACAAACAAACAAACGAACAACACACCTCCCACAGCCGAGTTTTGGGCATCTGAGGTGACGCCAACAAAGCCCTGGCCGGAAGCGCAAGAGAGCGTGAACGTCTCCCCCGACGCTCCTTCCAGCAGTTCTGTACGCAACAAGAGACAGAAGAGGCGAGGAGTGAGTGTTGATGAAGACAGCCGGGATTAACGTGCAACTGTCAGCAAAGGAAACAACTGCAGCTGTAGAGTGGCCCATGTCATCATCCACTACAACGTATCCATGCACGAACCGAAGCAGCTCTTGGCGTCGCCGCTCCAGCTTGCGGTGTCTTCGTTCTGAGTACATGTGCGCGTTGTTGTGCCTTCAGACGACAGCAGGAAGCCGTCGTCACAGCCCGAGTACGTGCACTGGTCGCCTGGTTGTTATTGTTGTTGTTGTTGTTGTTGTTGTTGTTTGTGGTTGCACGCATTTCGAATTCACGCACAATGTGAGAGGGCGTCGAGATGGCGATGGAGTGGCATTCGCAAGGCATGGAGCAAAGCAGCAGCTGCGTGTGAACCCCAACGCATCAAGTGCGACCGGCATTGACAGAACTGCTCTGATGACGTACCGACAGTGCCGGAGCACGAGCCAGACACGGAGCCATGGTTCAGCGACAGCGCCATGCACGTCACAGCTGCACGCACCATGAAATACGGACAACCACAGTTGGGTTGTGGTGAGCATTGCGAATGGAGATAGTCTCTGCCGATTTTCGCAGATGGAGGAGGCCAAGCTCTGGTGTGCACCGCAACACACACACACACACACACCAGCAACTGTATTCCTTTCTCCTTGCCTGCTCACCTTCGCATGTGTTGAGAGATCCGGACCACATGCGCTCGCCGTTGACTTCTGTGCACGTGACCGTCCTGCTGCCGCTGTCAGAGAACCAGTACCCAGAGTCGCACGAGGACACGGTGCACTCGTCTCCAACTGTAAACACACACAGAGCGTACAGAGAGCGAGGGAGAGAGAGGGAGAGAGAGAGAGAGAGAGAGAGAGAGAGAGAGAGAGAGAGAGAGAGAGAGAGAGAGAGAGAGAGAGAGAGTGTGTGTGTGTGTGTGTGTGTGTTGGGGGAAAGAATGAGACACAAGGGAGCACGATCCACAAAGGCAGGCATCGCGCAGCACAACAGCACCGCATGGAAAACTACTCTTGTTCGTCAGCAGCATTGTCCACCCAAACAAAACGCAATGGCACACCTGACAGGCCATCACAGTCGCCGCTGACAGCGCCATTGGCCACGGTCAGCGTTGGGCACTTGATGCCTGGTTTCAGCACAAGCGATGGTTTCATTGTTAGCACAAGCGCGCACGTACAGGTGTGCTTGCAGGCATGCATGTGCCAACGGGAGGGGATCAGAAGCGCAAGCATATTCGAGCCCAACCATCCACCCACCCACACAATCACACACAATCACACTGACTTACACACACACACACACACACACACACACACACACAATCACACAGCACACACGCACACAAGCATACACATGACGTACGTTCGCAGGTCTTGGCAGTGCCAGTCCAAACGCCGTCGTTGCCGTCCTGCTGACACACGCGCGTTGCATCACCATCCTCGGAGAGCTCGTAGTTGGTATTGCACGAGTCGTACGTGCATGCATCGCCTGGGATCACAAGAAGAGCAAACACAAAACGCAAATGAGCATGGTGTGAGGTGATAGGCAAAGAGATGACATATCTGCACACAGCTAGTCGTCGTCGCACAACACATGTGATCGCACATGCTCACACACGCACGCACACGCATGCAACAGAATCGCACCGTAAGAGCCGCTGCAGCCGCCAGCCAGCTGTCCGTTGGACAAGCTCAGTGATCCACAATCAATCGCTGCAAGTAGCAGACACATTGTCGCACGTGAGGACGTGAGATGAGCGTCGGATCAGGGCGGGAGTGCTATGACTAAACACAAAGCAGCGGCGATGCACATATCCAAATACGCCGTGCACATTGTCATCCGCAGAACACAAGTTCGCCACACACACACACACACACAAGCATTCACTCACGTGTGCATGCCACGTCGCTGCCGGTCCAAGCCGCATTGCCATCGACTTGCGACTGTGTGCATGTGCGAGTGATGGACGTGTCGCTGTGTGTCAATGCATAGCCAACGTTGCACCGCAGCGTGCACGAGTCGCCTGCAAAACCATCACAGGCGACGAACCAAGGCAGGATGCGTGTCAAGTCAAAGGTGAGCGTGGTGGTTGCATATGATGTCTCGTTGCGGAGGGTTGGTGGTGCGCTGTGTGTTGGAAGTGCGTCACACAGCATTGTGCCAGCGAAGAAGGGCAGAAGCTGCTGATATTGGATGGCAGTTCAAACAAACCAACGCACACACATGCACATCACATGCGCATGTGCAAACGCACACACATGTGCATGAGTGATTCACCGTAGTCGCCGTTGCACGAGCCACTGGTGGCGCCGTTGCTGATGGAAAGGGACGGGCAGGACACGGCTGTTGGGGTGTTCATGTAGTCACAGGCAGCGATGTTTGCGATGGTGATTGCACATTTGTTTTCGCTTATGATCCACAACGCTTTTCACGCAGACAGAGGGGCAGGCACATGCACACGCACACACACACGCACACGCACACGCACACACACACACACACACACACGCGCGCGCGCGCACATACATACAACAGGCGCTGGCATCTCACGTTCGCAGCGGATGGCGGATCCAGACCAGCCGTTGTAACCACATGTGCGGGATGTCGAGCCAGACGTCGGGGCATATCCATCATCACACCGCGAAAAAGTGCACGTCTCGCCTGCCAGAAAGGGGGCGGAGGCCGCATGTATGTACGTGGTGTGGGTTTGGAGAAGTAAGCGCACACGAAGTGGTGGCAAAGCAATGGAACTAGTTACAGGCGCAGGAAAAGGTAGAGAAAAGATACGTGCATGCAAGCAAAGCAAACAAGCAAACAAGCAAACAAGCAAACAAGCAAGCGAGCGAGCAAACAAACACACACACACACACACACACACACACACACACACACACACACACACACACACACACACCGTAGTCGCCGCTGCAACTGCCGGAGAGGGTGCCGTGGGAGAGGGACAGCGAACCGCAGGTGACCCCTAGAAAACACACACGTCACGTCAGGTCACGGATACGGCAGCACATGATTGTAAGCACGCAACAATAGAAAGATGAACAAAACCACGAAGGAAGGCTGACCAGACGAAGGCGTAATCCACGAATGCACATACACACGCGCATACACACACGCGCATACGCACTCACACTCAGCAGACACACACGCCAACTCACGCTCACACACATACACAACCACACACAGCGCTGGAAGGTACTCACGCTGACACGTGGCAGCGCTGTTTGTCCAGGAGCCAGAATCCTGGCACGTGCGGGTGACACCGGTGGAAGACAAGACATAGCCCTCATTGCAGCTGCTGTACGAGCACACGTCGCCTGCGAAGGAAGACATGGATGCACAGAAAAAGCACACAGCGTTGGTGCCACTGTTGAGTGAATTAGCTCATGGTGACAAAGTACGAGGAGGGGCAACAGCACACATGTAATTTATCCATCTATGGCATCTCATCCAGTGCATGCAAGCAATCAATTCACACGATCACACACCTGGGTAGCCTTGGCAGTCGCCGGAAAGGCTGCCATAAGACAGCGACAGCGCCGGGCATGGTTTGACTGGCAACCGAAGCGAGTGTGTGCGCGGGAGTGTGAATGTGTGAATGAGAAAACGTGTACAAAAAAAAAAAAAAACACAAACGAAGTGGGTGCGGGCTTGCGGTGTTTTGGCTCTTGTCAATGACACATGAGTGCACGCGAATGAACAGAGGAGACCGCCCCCTGCCCATGACATTGAATTGTTGCTGCGGTACTCACAAACACATCCGCGACTGCCGTCCGACACGTAGTTCGTGGCGCAGGAGACCTGGTTGCGTTGCATACAGCCAGCGCATTGTAAATGGATGGAGCTTCAATGGCGTGACGTACACAAACCACATGTTCGGCAAAATGTAGACACAGCCGCGCACAACCAAACTTATGCGACGAATGTGCACACAAGCGACACACGGGCACACGGGGCCGCCAATGAAGACCGTACCTGGCACGATCTGATGTTGAACGCACGATCCCGGGTGGGCGAGCTGTAGTACGAGTTGAATCCTGCAAATCATGAAAGCACATACATGCAGAGCGGTGAGACACGTGGAGGACACCAATCACGCAAAGCCGAAAGTGGGATCGTGTGGCACACTGGCTCTCAAGCTTCACACGCGTGATGGAACTTAATGCGCGTTCCAAACGCAGCACTTGCCTGTGAGGACTCTATTCGAGCCGGGGTTGTAGGAGAGCGGATTGTCGTATGTGTTGCGGTAGTTCTGGGTGTAGCAGTTTGTGAGGGTGGCGGAGGTGATGTATTGGCACTGGTAGCTGAACACGCGGTCGTTGGCATCAGCAACAAAGACAGTCTTCATCCCGCGCATGTCTGTCACAAAAACGCAGCCATGCATGTGGTTGTTTGGTTTGTGTTGTGCGCGCGCGTGTGAGTGTCTGGTCACGTGATGCACAGCAGCAGAGACACAACGCAGAGGGTACAGATGAAAGGTCACCTGAGATACCAAGATCCTGGTTGCACACTAGACGAGCGCATGATGCATATCTCATTCCACACCCAATGCCAGTCGCACTATCCCCCTCCTCCCACCAACTCGCACGTACAGGCATTGTCTGGGCAGGAGAAGTAGTGGTGATGGTTGAGCAGCGAGTAGTCTGCAGAGCTCCACCCTGTTTTGGTGCCGGCGGTGGGGCCTCCGATTGAGCCGCAGTAGTACCTCCACCTCCGATCCTCTCGGTAGTTGCTGTGATGTGACACAACATATGCAGATGCAGCGATGAGATGCTGAGCCCCGACGAACTGTTCTGTGCGGCAAACTTGACCACGTCACTGTCCATGCACACAAGGAGGAGCACCACAACAAACCACTCAACGTTCCCGACACAAGTTTCGGTTGGACAACGAGCGTACTTGTGATAGCTGTGAACTTCGTACATGCCAGTGCTACCAGGGCACGACACATAGAATGGATCATGAAAGTTGTTGACGTATGAGCCTTGGGACAGCGTGGTCTCACTGATGGCTGTGGTGGCGGTACAGTATGCATGCGAGTTGGTGAGGGCAACATAGGAGGAAGAGGGAAATGTACACGAACAAAGACTGGTGGTATGGCTGAGGGGAATAGGCACGAGCACACAGCAAATCAGCCGAGCATGGCACAACTATCACTCGGCACACGAGGACGCAACGAGCCCACGCACACACACACACACAGCGTCCAAACTGACTGTTGCAGTAGCGGTCGCCACGCGTGACGTAGTTGCCGTTCAGATCACATTCAACCTTGCACGTTGTCACTCGCCAGCGACGGTCTTCGTAATGATTGTCTGCGGGATTGCAAACAGGGAGATGGATGAGCTCAACAGGGACACAAAGAGTGCAAGAGTTGGGAGAGAGAGTGTGTGTATGTATGTGTGTGTAAGGGTGTCAGGGTGCGTGTGTGAATGTGTGTTAGTGTGTGGGTGTCAGGGTGGGAGTGCGTGCGTGAATGTGTGTTAGAGTGCTTGCGTGACAGTTGCCCATCTACTGGAGAGACCATGCGAGCACGCCAGCTTTGCACGTACGGTGATAGGAATGCAGTCCAGTGATGATGCGGTCGTTGCTTGCGGTGAAGCTGAGGGGTTGATCCTTTCAATACATCCAATCGCGCAGCGCAGTAAGGATATGCGTGGGTGGTTGATGTGAATCAGCAACGATGGTGTTTGTGCGAGTGTGTGTGCGTGTATCTGTACATGGCCACCAAGGCCCATGGTTTCAATGAGTTGCAGGCAGCTCACAAAGTTGTTGAGATAGCCCGTGGTGGAGCAGCCCCTGAGGTATGCGTTTGCGATCCTGCGGCACTCGAATCGCCACACCCTGCAGTGCAACAGTGCATGCGTTGTGTTGTGTGTGAGTGTGAGTGTGAGGTGTGTATGTGTGGAGAAACACTTGATGGGCCACCAGCCATTGCGATGACATGCGTGCCTGCAAGCAAACAAGCAAAGCAAAGATGAGACATATGCACACAGCACACTCACCTGTCTTCCTTGTTGTTGGAATGCGTGGACTCGAGGGTGGTGAGATAGTAGTTTGTTGGGCAGGTGAAGGAGACGGGCCGATCATACTGGTTGTAATCGAGAGCCCCCGAGGAGGATGTGCTGCTTGTCGTGCCAACGCCAGCAGATGAGCATCCAAACGCCCAGCGGCGATCCTCTGGTGGTGCGTTGGTGATGCAAGGGGAAGGGAGAGGGGGGAGGGGAGAGGGGGGGGGGAGGGAGAAGAAAGAAGATAAAAGTGTTGTGAGAGAGTGTTGGGGGGTGTGTGTTGTGAGTGGGTGTGTGTTGTGAGAGAGTGTTGTGTGTGAGTGAGTGTGTTTGAAACAATGGGGCGATGGCGCATGCGAACGTCGTAAGCGTGGACCAAGATCAAGCATGCAAGCAGTGAGACAAGTGAGGCATAGCCACACTCATTGGTGTGCTGCAAGCTGATGAGCATACCGCGGTTGTTGGAGTGATACGAGGCCAGGGAATACAGCGCGCGCCTGCTGGAGCATGTGTACTTGAAGTAGCAATCTTGTGTGTGTGTGTGCGTGTGTGGGTGGGTGGAACGAAGGCGATCAACCGGTATAAGGGTGGAGGGGCGGTGAGTGAGCTTAAACAGGCGCAACGAGTGATCTAACAAGCGATGCAGCCGACGAAGAAGCAAACGATGAAGCGATCACAAGTCCTCACGCACGAGCACACACAC